TGACAATGTTTGGCTGAATTGGTTTTCCCGTTTGTGGGTTCTTCCATTAAATAGAAATTGTGTACATATCCTAAATATGGTAAGTAAACTAATTACAATAATTTACAATCAATTAGATATATTTATGGTAAGTGCAATCTGATATAATCTTCGTAATCTTCATTGACACAAGATTCCAAGTGTAAGTATGTAAAAATATTTAACTTAGCATTTGCAGTAAGAAATCCACTATTTTCACCAACTTACTCTTGAAGATTAGGAGAGGATTGGGGATAGATTTTCTAGAAGAAAGACAACTTGGGACATGTATATGTAAACTTGTTGCCACCATTAAATTCGATGAAAGTCCTTTAGAGCACCTTCAATAGACTCTCTATTTTTAAAGAGCATATTCTATCATTTGAAGAGTATCTATAAATTTAGAGAGTTAAAATTTACTACTCCCAAAAATATTTATTATTTTTGTTTATATTTTATTTTAACTAGCTTTTTTTTAGATTATTTTTTTGTTTTCCTACATTGAAAATTGAAACACTTAGAATGCATTTAATTATAATAAAGAGTGAGTTTGGCTCTCCAAATTTGGAGAGTCAAATCCATTCTAAATTAAAATGTTAATTTAAAGAGTCTCTTGGAGCATGATTTTAAATGTTGACTCTTTAAAATAGAGAGCATCTCATGTTTAAAAAGTCTATTGGAGATGCTCTTACAACCAAGAAAATCTATGAAATTGCTTAGGCACGAATCCAAGTAATTTATCTTATCAAGAGATTAAAGAAATTAAGTTGACATTAATAAGAAAGGAAAAATAAAATTTCAATTTGTTGTTGTGAGTAAGTTACTTATGATCTACTGAATAATTGTGAGAGATGAAAATTGGGTCAAAATTACAATTAATATTGTACTATATTAGCACTCCTATCATCGAATTCTTTAATAAAACCTTGATACATGACAACTAGATAGCCATTATCTGTGATGGACATCTAATGTACACTAACTGTATAATGAACATATATACAGTGTCACTAAGTTTTGGAGTCTTGTGAACCAAAATTAATGGAGCACATCATTTTCTATTGACTAATAGAACCAATGGCACTGTCAGTAGGTTTTTTTTTATATTGTAATTGGCTATGCTAAATTTCCTTTTACAATTTTTTAATCCTTTGAATCAATTTTCCTGTTCAAACTGACATCACTTATGAGGTGACAACACTGACTTTTGGACACAAAATCATTAAATTGAACCCTACCAAAATATATTATTGTCCTTTCGCATTCATCACTTTGTCTTGTGCCGAGAAAAGCTATAAACTTTTACAATAATTTTGAGGAATCTTCATGTAGCTCAGTGGAGCTAATTGTGATCTTGCTGATCATGGTGATTGTAGTGATTCGAGCATGTTTGACAACTCAAGTGGAGTTGGAAGTGCTCATGGTGATTCTAGTAGGTTTGGTGACTCGGCTAGAGCTAGAAGTGAACGGGATAATTCAAGCAAGGTTGACGAGCAAGGTAGTTCAACTGGTAAGCAAGGCTTGAATTTAGTTCACCCTGCTGAGTATACCCGACAGGGGCATGATGAAAGAGTTGGAGAATAACTTGAAGAGTAAAAACATAATTTCTTGCTATGGAATTTGTGTCAAAGTGGAGTTTGTTATGTTTGTGACTCAAATTCCACGTGATTTGAAAGTTTGATTCATGGAGGAAGCCTAGATAATTTTGATTTGGAAGTCTGGATTGATAAGTAATCAAATTACATCATAAATTAGAAGTTTGATTGTGAAAAAAATTGGAATTGATGAAAAATGCATTTGGGAACTTGAAATAGCGTTTGGGGGCATAGGCACCAGGACCTAAATTAAGATCATGAAGCGGGGCACCTGGGCATTGTCGTTCGGGAAGAAGTTGATTTTTATCGCTATTTTTGTATTCCTATATGTTGGGTTTTTTAATACCCAATAATTCGGGTGATGATGTAAATCGGTTTTTTGTTGGATTATACTTCATAGACCTCGGCCGATGAGTGAAGTGAAATGTCGGCACCACAAGCGAATCACGTAACCCACTTTGGACATTTGAAGCAGTCTAATTAATTAGAGTTGCTCATGACCCAACCCGAATGGCTTGGATGACTTTAAGGTATTAGCCCACTTATCCCTTTTCTAATGGGACTATCAGTTTGACCTAAAAGCCTAAACCTAAACCTATTCCTAGCATATTTATTTGGCTGACCATTATTATTATTGGTTGTGTGAAAGTGTGCAGTAGCCATGTGTTTTTTGAAAGAGAGAACATTATTCAGTTATTGACCCTTTGCTTTGTGCTTTCGGTTTTTGCCTTCACTTTGGCAATTTGTTCTTCTTCCTCTTCTTCCTTTGTGGATTAACACACTTGAGTCTCAATTCATTTCCACCATCAGCTCTTTGGGGGCTATAATCTGGAAGCAACCATAGTGCTTGGAAGGTGCCGGTTTTGGAGATTGATTGGTTGATTGTGGTGTTTGATTTTTGATTAACTGAGCCTGGATCTTGGAGCAATCAAAGAAAAATCCTACACTATATTCATAACTCCAACATTTGGTTCAAATATATACACCTCGTGGTGTAGACTCTTCATAAACTCAACATAACAATTATATCATTATTGTATACATTAAAAATTTGAGAGAATTTAGATTTAGATTGAGATCATCAAACCTTAAAAAACAATTTTAGTTTCTTGGTATAATAAATTATCCTGTTCTTCCACAAAATCTTGATTGTTCTGTGATTCATTATTTTCATATATTCCATATTATTCCCGTATTTAATTATTTGGCTGAATTCTCAACAATTGTGGTATATTTTTCATAGATTTTAGTTTTTCGTTCCTTTTTAGTAGCATTGTTGATTATCTAGGAAAATTAGTATGTTCCTTTTAAGTTATTGTTGCTTCTGACAAGATTCCAAGTGTAAGTATGTAAAAATATTTACCTTAGCATTTGCAATAAGAAATCCACTCTTTTCACCAACTTACTCTTGAAGAATAGGAGAGGATGGGGATAGATTTTCTAGAAGAAAGACAACTTGGGACATGTATATGTAAACTTGTTGCCACCATTAAACCCGATGAAAGTCCTTTACAACCAAGAAAATCTGTGAAATTGCTTAGGCACGAATCCAAGTAATTTATCTTATCAAGAGATTAAAGAAATTAAGTTGACATTAATAAGAAAGGAAAAATAAAATTTCAATTTGTTGTTGTGAGTAAGTTACTTATAATCTACTGAATAATTGTGAGAGATAAAAATTAGGTCAAAATTACGACTTATTATAATGAACACATCCAGTCTCTCTTTTTTATTCTTCTTATCACATTTTGCTCGATCTAATTGAATCGATGGTATCAATAGCCTTTTTTCTTCATTGGTTTAATTCTCTAGGCTTATGACTAAATTTTCTTAAGTTTTGTAGTCTTGTGAACCAAAATTAATGGAGCACATCATTTTCTATTGACTAATAGAACCAATGGCAATGTCAGTAGTTTTTTTTTATATTGTAATTAGCTATGCTAAATTTCCTTTTACAATTTTTTAATCCTTTGAACCAATTTTCGTGTCCAAACTGACATCACTTATGAGGTGACAACACTGACTTTTGGACACAAAATCATTAAAATGAACCCGTCAAAATATATTATTGTCCTTTCGCATTCATCACTCTCTTGTGCCGAGAAAAGCTGTAAACTTTTAAAGATTGCTAAATCTGTGTGTATATATA